AGTCGACCTTCTCTAGTGGGTCTTGGGCTTGCATCCTTTTGGCTGAAACTAATGGGTATTTTTTGAATCCCAAAGGCTTATCTTCATCGATACAATCAAGCCTGTAGCTTTCTAATTTATCTTCATGCTCTTCAGCCATTGTTGAATGGTCTATTTCGACCAACTTGGAAACAAGATTATCACCAATCTTCATCACTTTATTAGTTTCAAATGGACAGGCTTCAAAAGCCAAAATTTGTTCAATGTCGGCTTCTAAATCTGCCTTTATCATAATTTAGGCTATATATGCCGCAATTCGAGCTAATACGCTCGATTCAGACATTTGTATTTTCTACCAAGAACCACTACATATCTGCGGTGGTATCGTCATCCGATTCACTATCCTTAAAGTCTTGTTGACACATGAATCCATGAGTAGGATCCAACCGTGTCGAGTAAAGGATATTTCCTCGCACAGAGGATTCCTTTCCATCAGAAGCATTTGGTCTAACCATTATGCTTACAACAATGTTAACCAAAATAAATTCTAAGGATTTACTGTTTTTTTCCTTCATAATCCAACAAGACCATAATATGTGGTCTAAAATATATGTCCATATTACCAATCATCTTCAAAAAGAAATGTGGAATCATATTGATTGCAGCCCCGCCATCTACTAGAACCTTGCTCACACCTACTTCATCGACCTTAGCAACGAAGAGTGGCTTAAGATGCTTCTTCATATCTATATCAGGTTTTTTAAAGACAAAATCTTCCTCCTCTATGTTGCCACTAGTCATAACATATTATCACACAGGATCAAATGTTACTTCTTTAGCAAGGTAATCATCCTCGCCATCAGTGACTTTAATAAATATGTCGAATTTTATGTGCAAAACATAAACAACATTAAATATGATGTCAAGCTCATCATCTTACTCAATTTTGAAGTCGTGTGTGAGCATGTCACGTCTTCGTTCGAAATGGAGCCTTTGTCCTTAGACTTGACCATTGTTGGCTGAGGAATCGAGATTCTTTCTGCCATGGGTTTCTTCCTCACTTGAGCACATGTCAAAGGTGGGAATTTTACACTGTTACTTGCTCCTCCAACTTCGAAAGAAGCTTTCCTTTTCTGTTGGTATCTACTCATTTGCGTTCTAGTCATAGGATTCTTGCCTAAGTAGTTATTCGAACTATAAGAGTTTTTTTTACTCTAGGAATTGTCATGGTATGACGAACCTTGACCAATTTCTACCACCTTCCATTATGGATAATTAGAATTTGAATTGACGTTGGGTCTAATCCATTTTTCAGAAGGTGCACATACTGATGAAACATATGTTCTCCTCTGATTACTCCAATGGTGTGGAGTCCTTAGGTAACTCTTATCAGAGACCCTTATTTGCTAACGCCAGACTCTTTCAAGGTCATTTGTTTCTTTTTTGTCAAAAATTGAACTGCACCGAGGGAACAACATCACTTCTGACTCTCAAAGTTTGCAACATTTAATAAATTTCATAAGATCTTCTTCAGCTCTAGGATACACCTCTCGGACTTTTTCATAATTAACCATCTTTTGATTTTCGAACTTTGGGTTGAGATCGTCAGCACCTTCAACCATCATGATCTCGACTTGTTCGAAGAGGTTCACATATTCGACCTGTAGGGGATCATAGTCAATTTTCATGGATGGCTTAGGTTTGTCATCAAACTTCAGTCTTCCTTCCTTTGACTTATCTTTTAACTTATCTTGCACCAGATTCCTAAAAAGAACACACTGAGAAGTCTTATGACCGAGGAAGTTATGATATTTACAAAAACCTTTTTTCTTCCTTTGTTCCAAAGGTGATGCCTTTAGGCCTTCTGGCATTATGATTTGACCATCGATAACTAAAAGATCAAAAATTCTATCATATTTGATAACATCAAAAGTATAAGTTTTTGTAATAATTGCAGGTCAAGCCATAGAAGGTTTGAACTTGACCTACAATAAATTTAAAAGACCCGAGTTCGAGCTGACATATTGTAGGTTTTTTTTAACCTGACATTTTTAACAGTATAGTATAGGCTGAAAGCCTATTTAAAAGTCTGATTAACATTAAGGCTTTTAAATAGTTCATTTAATATATATATATATATATATATATATATATATATATATATATATATATATATATATATATATATATATATATATATATATATATATATATATATATATATATATATATATATATATATATATATATATAATTCTAACCTATTTATTAAATAAATTTGGCCTGACCTTAAATATAAATTATAAATGTTTATAAACTGATCTAACTTATTTTCATTCCTACCTATATATTATAAACAAAACAGTTAAAAGAGGTTACTATTATCTTTTAAAGACAGTTGCACGCTTACAATTGTATTACAACCTATTAAAAAACGGTGACTAGTGATAATTTATGTAATTGCGATCTTTTTTTTTTATATATTGTGGCAGTTTTAAATATATACTACTATCTCTGTTCTTTTTTATAAGAGACAAGTAATTTTTTAGGTTTATTATATAGGTTTTTTTACACCAATACCCTGTTCTGAAACACATAATACCAAACTACCCTCTTTTGAAAAAAATTAATGAATGTGCTCTAGGTTTAAAACCTACTCGTCCACTGAAGTGGCGAGCAGATGAAGGCTTTTCTGGCAACGTTGGTGCTCGCCCACTCAGATGGCGAGCACATGAAGCGACCGTTTTTTTTATTTTTGTTTTTTATTTATATTATTTATTTAATCACATATTTAATAATTTTAATATAAAAATCATATTATAAAATATATTATACTAATTTAATAATAAAATATTAATTAATAATATATTATAATAATAAAATATTTTATACTTTATTAATTTAATAAATAAATACTAATTAAAAATACATTATAAGATTAAAATATTTTATGTTGTTTTAATATAATAATTAAATAAATATTAAAAATATATCATAATAAAAAATAAAAATTTGTTGTATTAATTAAATGCAACAATAAAATATATTAAACATAAATACATGTTACGTATACATTTGATCAAAAATGACCCCCAGTTCCACACCTAGTGGTCCTTTTATGTCGATATCCCCTGCCCAAACGTTCATTTGCATTTGTTGTAGGTGATTGAGATGAGTCGGAAGACATATCTTCATTGTGATGTGTTGTAGGGGGTTTGCCTGCCTTGAAGGGGGTTCTGCTTGTGTTGATGGTTGCTCAGCAAGAAGATCATCAATGTTAAAATCTGGCATTTGCATTAGTTGATCCTCTGTCAGCAAAAAATTTGGAATGATTGTGATGGTTGCGGTGGTTGTGGATAGGTTTTAGGTTAGGTTTGTTGGAGGGTTGGGTAGTAGACATCACCAGGCGTGAAGGTGGAGGTGGGTTGAGAGAATGAAGTGTTGAAGGTTTGATATTGGAATTGAGGGTTTGTCTGATCAAAGTTGGGCGGTGGAACTGGAGTGAACTGTTGTTTACTGTGAATTTTGGTAAACAACCGTTGGTCTATCAATTCAGGATAAAATTGAATAACTTGCAGGATCGACCATACTAAATCCTAGAACATGTGCTAAGTATGTAAAAGATTTTAAGTTGAACTCTACTTTCGACTGGGACGCCTCTTAGAAAAGTGAGATCATTCAAAGATTGAAGACAATAAATAAAGAAAAGCAAGTAATGTGTTGAAGGTAAAGGCAAGAATGTAAAGTGCAATGATGTAACGGATTTGAAAAGTAAAGTCGAAAGTAAATGGCTTTAAAAAATAACAACTGTAATGTAAAGGCGAAGAGACTACAACCAAACTCCACGTTCGACTGCAATTCTTTTGAGAAATAAATGACTTTTGAAAATAAAGGTGCAAGTAAGTAAATTGCTTGGAAAATAACTCTAATATGAACTCCATGTTCGACTAGTGGATCTTTGAAAAGTAAAGGTGCAGCAAAGTCGTAAAAACAGTTTAAAGGTAAAAACTGAAGATTAAAAGTAGCAAGTAAGTGTTAAAGACAAATAAATTTCATTGTTAGGAAAGGATTTGGTGTTGTATCACGTACATTCTCGTTAAACTCGTTTCTCTACACGCGAGTACTTTGAGTTGTATGAACTAGTACAAAAATGAATGAACACCCTTATTACATAAAATTAACACCTATTTATAGTGTTATAAAATAACTACTACATGATGGTTGAGACTTCTCAGCATGTTCTTTTTGGCGCCTCTTTGCTATTTCAACCGCTCCCACGTTCTCCTTTGCTTAATTTGAATTTTGAACATTTGATAATTCCCTCCAACTTGGTTGAAACGTCTTCGTATTCTCCTCAGCATGGTCTTCGTCGAGCGTTTTCCAACACTTAGCATTTTTTAGCAACTTGGTCCATCTCTCTTCGACTTGAAGTCTTCCTTGGTTAGGTCGAGAATATCCCATATTCTAAATATTGGTAATTTGACTTAAGATAATTCTGGTATCGACTAGTGTCGAAAACATCTGTAAGGATGGTCGAAGGTTAGGTTGGGTTTGATATTGTGGGCTGTAGTTGTAGTTATAGTTTTATTGAGGGAGTGGATTGTAGGGAGTTTGGTGTTGGGATGAGGATGCATAGTATATGCATTGTTTAGTTGTCTGTGTGCGTTGGTATGTATGCTGAGCTGATGAAGATGCGTGCCCCCCAAATTGATATGTGTAGTTTGGTGGCACATCCTGATGCATTGATGCGGAAGTTGGTTGTGTTGATGACGAACCTTGCATGCGTGGGTCGATCAAAAATTGGTTGAAGCAATATGCACATAAGGAATGTAACGAAACCAAGTTAAATACTCTTGGCTTGGCTTGCGTTCACCAACTACAGCGTCCCCCTGCAAAATCAAATGTCTTATATGTTTCCATTCTCTCACCTCCTCCTTGTTTAAGTCTCTCCAATGAACTTTTTGGGCTTTTTTCATTGTCATTGCGTGGTGTTCCCTTAGACACCTTGGCGGGGAAGGGGTTTATTGTTCAAATCCAAACTGGAGTTTTACCCTATCTGTTTGATGCATTTCAACGGTGTAGAAACAAATAAGAGAAGTTGTAGCACTCCAGGTTTGGCTATCTCTAATATTGGGGACCGAATATTGAATGTACGGCCTCCATATAAACTGCCACATATTAAAGAAAATTATAATACCATTAAGGAGTATAACCGACAACTATGTTCTATGGTTTCAAAATTACATCTTTTTCTTGCATATGGTCCAACGCGTTTCTATATCCTTGTAGATGAAAACGAGGATTATCATCATAATTCATCCGTCTTTAGGCCCATCTTGCATAAACAAAAAAAATAAATATTGTTAGGCATAGTTGAATAAAATATATATATATATATATATATATATATATATATATATATATATATATATATATATATATATATATATATATATATATATATATATATATATATATATATATATATATATATATATATATATATATATATATATATATATATATATATATATATATATATATATATATATATATATATATATATATATATATATATATATATATATATATATATATATATATATATATATATATATATATATATTACATACACATAAATGCGTGTTTTAATCTAGAAATACCTTTGTGCGTATGGATATGAGGGTTGCACTGTATTAACAGGAGCAAACAATGGTATACGTGTGAATGCCCAAGAAGTGAGTAGAAGAACACAACCACTCATGCTCCTAACATCCTTGACTGCTGCCTTGCGTATTTCTCTGTAAAGTTTTGCAAGACATGCAGAACCCCAACTATAGGTGCCACATTTTTCTAGATCCCCTACGAAAGGAATCCAGGAAGAATGCAAAAGATTTTGACTCTTGTCAGGAAACAAAATAGTAGCGATTACAAGTAAAATATAAACTTTAGCTTGTAAAACAATTTCTTCTTGTGTGGGGGCAGAGTTATCTTTTAAAATTTCATATAAATTTTCTAGCCAGGTAATCCTAACAGAACCTCTATTTTTATCCGCTTCTGTAGGTTCCACCCCTAAGCTCTCCATGTAAACATCATTTGTGACTTCGGTAGGACCGTTGATAGCTTTTCCACCAACTTGGAGACCAAGTAACATATTCGCATCTTCTAACGTTATCGTGCATTCACTTGTTGGGAAGTGAAAAGTGTGTGTTTCTGGTCTCTATTTCTCTAACAGAGCTACAACTAAGCTTGAGTCGATTTTGAGACTATTTATTTTTGCGATATGAGCAAAACCTGCTATTTCTTGATACGAGATTATTCTTGCACTTGCTTGAATGGGAGCATGATAATACACTATAAACCTTACATTAGTCTGAAACAATATTGAACCAAGCAATTATAATCATTATTTTTTATATGAAACAATATTGAACCAAGCAATTATAATCATTATTTTTGAATACACTCAAATAGAGGAAAACTTACACTAGCTTGAATGTTTTCTTGTGTTCCACGGTGTTCATCGCCCATCCACAACAATGCCATTTTGATTGAGTATCAAGATTTTTCAATAAATGCTTGAGAGTTTGTTGATGTTATAATGCTTTGTGTTAGAAGTAAAAATGTGTGTAGAAACTTGCTTGAGGTAAACCCGAATTTATAGATGAAGATTTTACATTTGGTAGTGTAAATGTGACTAGTAGAAGTGACAATACTATGAGTTTTGCATGGCTTTGGAAATAGTTATTAGGTCTTACACAATGGAATGCATGCAAACCTAGTAGCAAGACTAGGTCTTACACAATGTTTCATGAATGCAAGACACTTTTCATCATCCATCACTCACTCGCCCTTTGAGTGGACAAGTTGGCTCGTGTACAAGCGTGTGCTCTCCCTTTGAGTGGGCGAGCAAGTGCTTCGCATGAACATGCTCGTCCTTTGAGTGGACGAGCTCAAAGGGACTTTTTGTTTTCTACATTTTTTGTGTGTGTTATATATTTGTGTGTATCCTATCTTATTTGTATCATAACTCCAAATTTCATTAACAAGAACATATATTTTACACTTTAAATATGTCTCATAGAAATATAATTGTTACCTGCCACTTTAATGGTGTTGTTTCAACAAATAGTACCGTTGGATTCTCATTCAGCGACACAGATACTTACGCATTCAAAATTCATGTCAATTCTGATTTTTTCCATTTCAAATATAGAATGGGAAAAAAAATTAGCACGATGCGTTAAAGAGATAATTTATTGTCATCCTATACTTAATGGAGATGACTGTACAACTTTTTACGTAATGACACCAATCAGGAACGATGAAGATGTGGAGGCAATGTTTCGGTGCCACGTGATGTTTGGTCAGTTACCTACAATTGAGTTGTATGTCCGACTACTAGACAATGCCGAAACATTTCTGACGCAAGAGACACAGTCATACCGGTATGGAATTAACCAAACATCCAACGACGAACCAACACAAAACAACCAACCATTCATACCAAATGAAGAGGTTGGAGAAGCAAGCGATGACGATCTTCAGGAGGTTAGGATGCAAGATATTTTTGATAACAGTGATGACGAAGACGATGAAGATATAGTTGTCGCGTCTATGCAGCCGATTCGCGCACAACCAATAAGTTTGTACAACCCACCTGAACATATGCAAAATATATGTATGGAAAATGATGAGACAACCTCCATGTTTGGAAGTGTCATACCAAACCATATAGGTGAAGAAATAGAGATTGGGATGGAGTTTGAAAACAAGGAAGCTTACGCCTTTGATCTACAACATTGGCACATAACACACAATGTTGACTATTGGGTTTATCAATCTAACAATGAACGATGTGTAATTAAGTGTAAGAAACAAGACTGCAATTTCAAATGTAGAGCTTCCTTGAGAAAAAGGAACTCAAAATGGGTGATCGGTAAGATGTTTGGGCCTCACACATGCACTACCACGTCTATGGCACAAGATCATAGGAAGCTCAGTTCAGAAATGATTAGCCATATCATCAGAGAACTTGTCAACCGAGACGCTTCACTTAAGGTGAAGATGATCATTGCCCATATTCTTGAAAAATACAGGTACATAATATCTTACAGAAAAGCATGGATCGCTAAGTGTAAGGCCATAAAGTCGCTCTATGGAAATTGGGAAACATCTTACAACGACCTGCCATAGTGGATACTGGTAATGAAAACCTACCTTCCAGGAACCATTATAGATTTGCAAACCCTACCTGCAATTTCAAATGATGGTTCCCAACTCTCTGGAAAACGAATCTTCCATCGTCTGTTTTGGGCATTTCGTCCGTGTATACGTGGCTTCGCCTACTCTAAGCCCATTGTTCAAGTAAATGAAACTTGGTTGTATGGCAAGTACAAAGGAACTCTATTGATGGCGGTGGCACATGATGGTAACGCAAACATTTTTCCAATAGCATTCGCATTGGTCAAAGGTGAAACAAAGGAAGCATGAAGCTTTTTTCTAAGGAACCTGAGGTTACACGTGACACCACAACCTAATTTATGCCTAATCTCTGATAGACATGAATCGATAAAGAGTTCATATAAAAATCCTGAAAAGGATGGCAACATCCACCATCTTCACATGTCTACTGCATTAGACACATTTCTCAGAACTTCATGCGCGAGATTAAAGACAAGGTTCTACGCAAAAAAACTGTTAACATGGGTAACAAAATACATTTCAATTATCTCAACTATTGTATCACACTTTTACTATGTTTTTCACACAATTTCTATTACAGGTTACGCATTGACGGAGGCTACATTTAACTACTATCACGGAGAAATCAGAAGAACAAACATTGAGGCTTCAAATTGGATAGACAACATACATAGGGAGAAGTGGGCTAGAGCATTTGACGAAGGACAACGTTGGGGATATATGACATCTAACTTGGCAGAGGCCATAAACTTTGTACTAAAGGCAACCAAAAACCTTCCAATCACTGCTTTGGTACACTCTACATATTATCGAATGGGTTCACTCTTTGGTAAACGAGGACACAAATGGACCAAAATGCTAGCTACATGGAAAGTTTTCACAGATGGTTGCAACAAGGGAATGACTGATGAGGTAGCCAAGGCTAACACACACAACGTCATGCAATTTGATCGCGAAAGATTCTGTTTCATGGTGCAAGAAAAAATTAATCAAAACGATGATCCTCCAACGGATACTTTCAACGTTGACCTGAGGAATCGTTGTTGTGACTGTGGAAAATTTCAAGCATTTCATTTGCCTTGCTCCCACGTGATCGCAACATGTTCTAGCATACGAAAGACTACACAATTCACATTTCAGAGGTCTTCACAGTACTTAACGTATTCAAAGTATACAAAGAAAGCTTCATGTGACTACCGCACGAGGAGAACTGGCCAAAATATGAACGTTTTACTCTATGCCACGACGATTCCATTAGAAGAAATAAAAAGGGACGTCCAACCAGTAGTAGAATTAGAACTGAGATGGACGACGCTAAAAAAGAAAAGAGAAGGTGTGAGATTTGCAGAGAAATAAGTCATATGCGTAGAAAATGTCCTAATGTTGTCGGCCCGTCAAACCAACCGCCTAGATAATTTTATGTATTTTGCTTGCATTTGTATTCTATGTGATCCAACATTTATTTTTAATTCAATACAACTTTTAAATTACATAAATACTAGCAAATTACAATCATAAAGTTAAAAATAAAACTCAGGGAGCTAACATACACGCTAACCAACAACAGCAACCAACACAAGTGGACCTGCGACTCCTCTGCTAACTTCGCAACTATGTGCTGAAAACATGCATTGGACATCTTCATCATTTTCTATACGATCCAAGTAATACATGTACATACCCTCCGGGCTAGCATCAGTCAGCGTTATATACAGACAACGATACTCCATTTTTCTCACTGTCATGCGACGACCGCCCAACTACCGAAACCCCGTGTTAATTGCTGCAACCACGGTTCTGAAATTCCACTGCGAATCTAGGTAAACACTTATTTTTTTTCTTGTCCATAAAAAACAAGAGCTCAGACAGACATTTTTAAAACACAGATCACTAGAAATGAATGATTTGTGCTGATGCATAATACGTCTATTTATAAAAAAAAAGTTACGTTTGAACTCGGTCATTCAATGACCGAGACTCTGTAAAAACTTTATACCTCCATGAACGAACATGAGTCATTCTTTTTTAATACATGAGAGAAAGAAAAATTAAATTATTATATCATTCACATTTTTTTCCATTTAATATAATATAATTAATAAAATTAATATAATAACATAATATATAATATTGTTATAAAAATTATTTATAATTAAATTAAATATCATAATTAAACATGATATATAATAAATAATTAACATTAATATCATAATTAAATTAATATAATACATTTTTAATATTTAAAAATATTATTTTAATTAACTAAACATAATATAAATAAATAAAAAACAAAAAAAACGCACTCTTCATGTGCTCGCCATCTGAGTGGGCGAACACCAACGTTGCCAGAATTGCCTTCATCTGCTCACCACTTCAGCGGACGAGCAGGTTCTAAACCTAAAGCACATTCGTTAATTTTTTTCAAAAGAGGATAATGTGTTTTAGAACAGGGTATTGGTGTAAAAAAAGTCTATCATAGTCTATTATATAGTCAATGTATCTAGCCTATAAACCGACCAAATATATTAATTATTCAATAAATCTAAAAAATGAATTGTAGGAACAGAAATAATAATAATTAACAATTAAAAAAATTATTATTAGTCATTCATTCTAAAAAATTAAAACAAAAAAAGTTATCACAAATTAAAAAGCCCTACTTTCCATGCATAGAATACCTAGTAGGGGAAAAAAATGAACATTTGCTAAAATTGTGCAACCCAATTAAGACAGCATTTGAGATGTTGTTACATATTTTTTTCTTGCATACAAGAACAACAATGAAAGACAAGCTTTATTTGAATAAAATCATGCGTAAATGTCCAGAACACCATAAATTATGTAACATTGGCACCAACATTCAATATATAATAAGTCAATCATCACAAGACTGGTGTCAAAAGTGGCTTGCCACTAAAGTGAGCCTCCAAGTTTGCAATCACAAGATCTGCCATGTCTTTGCAAGTTTCTTCAGTGTCACTAGCTACATGAGGAGTGAGCACAACATTCTCAAGTCTCAGTAACTCCTCGGGAACATCGGGTTCATTCTCAAACACATCAAGCCCCGCTCCACCTAACCGTCCTTCGACCAAAGCAGACACAAGTTCGGGTTCGTCGACGATCGGTCCACGTCCAATGTTGACAATAACCCCTTTTGGGCCCAATGCATCAATAACTTCACGGTTCACAATGTGTCGCGTTTGTTCGGTAAGTGCACACGCGACGACAAGTACTTGAGAGTTAGTTGCTAAATCAAGGATGTTAGGGTAATACTTGTATGATCCTGCCTCAGGTTTTTGAGATCTTGAATGGTAACTAATTGGACACCCAAATGCTGCAGCTCTCTTTGCTATTGCTGAACCTATTCTTCCCAAACCAACAATTCCAACTTTTTTACCACTAAACTGGAATACACATTTAAACAATTATTCACACAATAATATAATTGTATTATACAATTTAAATTAAACAATTTGTTTTATTTATAAAACTCAAAAGTCGTGAGCACTAATTACGGAACTATAAAGATATTATTGAGGATAATTCATAGATACAGAAGAGAAGTAGGTGGCCGAGCAGCAGAGCAACACAGAGCTCCCTCCACCTCACCCTTGTGTAATTCAATGCGCCTAATGTATAGATAGACTAATCCTAGGACAAAAATTGAGGTATATGCAATTGAGGTAAACGGCATATACGGATCTTTCGAGATGGAAAATGTCTCAATAGGCACCATTACAAAAACTAATTCATCAAGTAAACAATAGATGCAACTGCCGAGACTAAGACTCTTTTTAGTAAAATTAACTGATAGCTGATAAGTGGTAGCTAGTAGCTGATGACTAGTAGCTGATGACTAGTAGTTGATAGTTTATAACTGATAACTAGTAGCTGATAGTTTATATCCGATGACTAATAGTTGATAATTTATATCCGATGACTGATAGATGATAGCTAATGATTTTTAGCTGATAAATTAATTTGAGTGTTTGATAAATTAACGGTTATACTAGCCGATAAATATAAAATAATATAAAAAGACATTCTTAATTAAAAAAATTATTAAATTAATTTTTATTAAATAAAAATAAACATATTAACAATCAAATACAAAATATTTTAAATATAAATATAAAATTAAACATAACACAAAAATATATTAAACACTTCTATATAAATTTTATAATAAAATTTAAATATTTAAAATAATAATATTGTAATTTGATCTTATATTCCAATAAAATGCATACTTCCTTCTGTTTTTTTCTCTCTCAAGATCTATAATATGCCTAACAATAAACAAATATACTCAATCATCCATTATCATATTTATAAAAATTATACATTAATAATAAAAACTTAAGTAATAAATAACTAAAATATATAATGTAAAAGTAATTAAAAAATTTCAATATAATGAGTCAAAATATTCCACTAATAACAAAATGAAAGATGAGTTGCATAGTGTATTTGTTCAGTAGAAATAATGACTAACGTTTTTTATTCACTCAACTAAAACACAATTATTTTAATTTAAATCATAATAATATAAAGGGTAAAAATAAATTTTTGACAAAATTATGAGAATACAAATAGAAGAAAAAGTCATAAGCTAAAAATCATAAGTTCAAAAGCTACTTCAAATAATTTAAAAAAATAAAATTAAAAACTAATAAAAAAGCTATATACTAAAAGTTAAAAGACCTAAAAGACAGATCAAACAGAATTTTAATAAATTGAAAAACTAAAATCTAAAAGCTAAAAAGAGTCTAATCCTTCTAATACAAAAGAATCAAGACTAAAATAGACATCTTGGAAAATGTCAGAATACTTGCAATAAACATCTAATTGAGGAGACCACAATAGGCACAATAAACATTGAATTGAGGCGAGGAGACCACAATAGACATTAGGGGCAATCTATCCAACTGAGGAGGCCCACAATAGCCACAAATGCATACACTAGTTCATAGGACCTTAATAATTAGCAAAACACTCTCAAGAAATTAAATTAAATTAATCGTTTGAAAAAAAAAAAGTAAAATATACATAAAACAAGGGTAAAAATGAAAACAAAAAACATGATCTCATAAAAAAAAACTTAATAAAAACAAAAAATATATTTACAAGACTAAAAAATATTTAATAACAATTTTAAATAAATAAATAAATAAACAGTAAAAGAGTAAGGACCTTTGTAGTTAATGGATAATCAGAATGTTTCCAAAGCCCATTCTTGACAAAGTCATCACTGTTCGGAATCTTCCTGAACACAGCCAAAGCAAGACCAATAGCCAGATCAGCAACATCATCCGTCAACACATCTGGCGTATTCGTAACTCGAATTCCTCTCTCTCTACATTTTCCGATATCAATTTTATCAAATCCAACGCTGTTAGTCGAAACAATCTCTAGATTCGGAAGAGCGTCGATAGTTTTTGCGTCGGCACATGATTTGGCGTCGCAAACGAATGCACGAACAGAATCACCGTGTGTTTCGGAGAAAGCTTCGATTGAAGAGTAGGTCCAGAGTTTGAAGAGGTTGAAACGGTTGGCAAGTTTTTCGGCGAGATTGCTCGGCATTGGGATGGCCATTAGAACGCCGACAGATTTCATTGCGACAGTGGTGGATGAACTCGACGGAGAGATAGTTAGGGTTTAGGGGTTAGCGTGTTTTGCTGTGAGGAATGCAGTAAAACTGTGTTATAGAGTAATATTGTTTATTTATTACAATAGATATATATTAATATTGGTAAATTATATTTGAGACTAAATGCATTCCCTATTTTATGAAATTCTTATTATAATGAGAGATATTGTTTAAACTTTTTTTATATACTTATTCTAAAACATAATTGACTAAATGGAAAAAAAATCAACTAATATGGTTTTGGTCAAATTTAGTTATCCAAATCCTGAAAAGATATTATGAGATGAAAATTTCAATTAACATTCATTGTCCAAACCAAGTAATGTATATTTAAAAGTACTGTTTTAAATTGAAATTATAGAGCATACTCTTGCAAAGAAAAAGAAAAGCTTACTAATATTATTTTTTATGTATGTTTTTTGTTACAATCTTTTGTTCAATAAAGTTTGTGCAAAATGTCTCTTGTCAATCAAACGCGACATTAAACGTTATCGGATTTATCGAGTTTTGTTATAAAATAAACATTTTAATTGTCTTTATAAAGGATGTGAATAATTAAAGGATGTGAATAACTCTACAGTTTTTTTACTATAGTATCTAATATCTGAAAATTAAATACTATAATATTTTATTTTTATAAAAAAAAAATTTACATATATCTTTTGCGCAGTACATGCTCGTCTACTGGATTAGCGAACACAAGAAGGATTTACATGCATGAAAGTGTTCGTCCAATGAGTTGGCGAGCATGTAAATATTTTATAATTAATTAAACAATATTTTAATCTGAAAAAAATAAAAAAAATAATAAAATAAGAAGATGTTTGCCAACTTATTGGACGAGCACCTACGAACATAAAAATTCTTCTTGTGTTCGCCAACCCAGTGAACGAGCATGTACTGTGCAGAGAGTATGTTAAATTTTTTTTTAAAAATAAGATATTATGGTATTTAATTTTCAGATATGGAGCATTATAGTAAAAACTCATAATTCTAAACATAATATTTTCAAGCATAATATCTTAGAATAATTTACATCTTTATCATGATATTTATTCAAACAGCATCGATGAGTATGATGATCAGGGATGAGTTTGGGGAAGAGAAGTTTAGAAGATTTTGAGAGATTCGATATCGAGACTTGATTGGAGATTAATTTAGATCAATGAAGCCTAATTAGAGATTTATATTGAAAAATGAAGTTGAAAATGGCAAGATCATGCAACAGGTAGAAGAAATGGAAAATAACAAAGCTAATGATAAACAAATTGATACACTAGATGGTTAACACTGTAACTAATTTATATTTTCATGTAATTAGGGTTGTTACTTGAAGTCTAAGCAATAATATTATATAGCTAGAACACCATAACTTATGATGGAAGTTACCATACGAGTATATATAGAACATTGCATTTGAGGAATAATCAATGAGAATTAATAGCTTAATTGTGTGCATATCAATCTCTTCATCATTTTTTTCATTCTTCATCCTCTTTCGATCTGCTCATTGTATTGTAGAATCATCTTAATTACTTTGATCTGCAACATGTTTCGTAGATTCGTTTTCTTCATCGTTGATCTGCAACATATTTCGTAGATTCTTCTTTTTAATCATTGATTTGTATTTTTCTTCACAGATTTTTCTCATTAATCTTTGATTGTATTGTTCAGTTCTAATTCCTTTTTTCTTATCTATCCAAGATGCCTCTATGCATAGCACCACCACAACACATTGAATCAGATTCAACATACCATGTTCATCCAAGTGGAAGTCCCAACACAGATAACGTCACTCCAAAATTGGATGGAGCTATCTATCTTGCATGGAGTAAATTCATGAGACATGCTTTGGGCACCGAGAACAAATTCAATGTGTTGATAGAACAACCTAAATCCCAACAATTGATGATCTTAATTTTTCGTAATGAGAAAGATGCAACCATCTTATTCATTCATGGATAACCAATTCAGTTTCTGGTCATATTTCTTCCACCATTGTTTTTCATGAAACTGCACTAGATGTATGAAATGATTTTCATAAAAGAATCTCAAAGGCTTACCGTGATAGAATCTTCAGTCTTCGATCACAAATCAATAATCTCAAACAAAATTCGATAATAGTCATGGAGTATTTCCTTGAGTTGAAGGGACTTTTGGAAGAACTAAATTCTCGTCGCCATTTACCTATGTCTACTTGCATTCATAGATGTTGATATGCATCCATTTGAGTTGCTCAAGAATACATACTTGAATATCAAAATATTCAATTTTTTACAGGTTTTAATGACCATTTTTCTATTGTTAAAACTCAAGTTTTGTTGATGGGTCATTCGCCTTCCATTAATCGAATATATTCACTTGTGATACAAGAAGAAAGTAATCACAAGAACTTAGTACCACTTGATGATAGTCTCATTCTATTCAATGTTGCACAAAGGCAAGATTTTAAGAACATAGGTAATTTTAACAATTACAATAATCCTCCTTGTGTGTGTACCTTTTGTCATAGGAACGATCGTACCATTAGTTTTTTCTATCAAAAGCATGACCACCCTCAAATTCAACAAGACCAAATCTTCTATGAATGCAAGTCATGTTGGTGTTAATACATCACCTTAAAAAATGGATGAAACTCGTGTTACTTCTTTGCAAGCAACAGTGCACCTATATCTCGAGGTGAATATGATCAACTGCTTACCTTACTCCTATAGTCAAGTTTGAATGCCTCAAACCAATTTTTCACTACAAATCAGATTACCACAAGTCATCCACTTATTGAATTCTCATCAGGTATCATATTGTTAGCTCTTATTTTTGACGCCAACAATTTCACAGTATCTCAAGTCAGAATGTTATTTTAAAAGCATAAGAAGGCTTCAACCCAGCTTTGGTGAAGCCTGAGTCGAAAAGAGGTTGGGAAAATTTCTAGAAAAATTACTAAGTGTTGGAAAGGCCTTCGACCAGGAAAATGCTAAAAGAAGCGCATTGTAGTTACCATTAAGTCTGGAGGGAATTCTTAACATTTGAATTTTAAATTGGTAGTGAGCGAACGTGGGAACGGTTGAAGTCGAGAGAAAAGCGCCAAAAAGACATGTTTTGAAGCAACAACCGTCAATTAGTAGTTATTTGCTAGCATTATAAATTAGAGTTATTTACATAGAATAAGGGTGTTCATTCGTCTTGTACAAGTTACTCCAAATTACTCAAAGTACCCGCGTGTAGAGAAACGAGTTAGAGAGAATGTACGTGATGCAACACCATTCCCTTTCATTAATGCAATTTACATATCTTTACAATTTGTATGTTGTTGTTTATTCTACATTTTCTTTCGCGTGTTATCCTTTAACCTTCATCTTTTACGTTTAAACTGCTTTTTCATGCCTTTTCTGAAACTTTATTTTCATCTACACTTTATGTTATTTAACGTTCTGCATTTTATCTCAACCTGCAATTTAACCTTCTGCACTTTCCTTTAAACGTGTTATTTTCAAAGTCTTTTAATTGCTTTCGACAGTTACTCTCCTACACATTTACATTATTGCCTTTAATTTCAAAGTCATTTACATTATTGCCTTTAATTTCAAAGTCTTTCACATTATTGCCTTTATTTTCAAAGTCTTTTACATCTTGCCTTTAACTTTCGACGCATTACGTTCTTTATTTTTCAGCCTTGTTAATTTCCAAGTTATTTCTGCTTTACAACACTTTCATAGTCGAACGTAGAGTTCAAATTAGATTTTTCTTTCAAACTTAGCACATGTGCTAGGATTTGTATGGTCGATCCTGTAAGCTACTCAATTTTACCCAAGATTGATAGACCAACGGTTATTTACCAAATTTCACAATAAACAAATTGGCACACTTAGTGGGACCTAATGCTAAGTATTCAAAATTTGTTTTTTAATCATATCCATCCTTTTGAGAAACATTCCGTTGTATGTTATTGAGAAGTGGGAAGTTAGCCACAACAAACGAAGGAATACCAAAGGGAAGATATACTAAGAGAATGGCAACAAATGCTAGTCAACAAGTTGATCCTCAAGGAAGTGTTTCAAATACTCAGTCGAGTAGAATGGGGTCTCAAAGTACTCCATTTCCAGTCTCTTCGACAGGAGGATAGACGTCACCACTAACAATTGCGTCTGAACCAATGCAGTCAATGGCATGTCCAGGATCAATATGTGTAAGAACGTACACTCAACCTGTGTTGGAATATATATGACCACAAAGTCCTAACCCACCAACACCTTCAGGAAGTTTGATGTATAGGCATTTTCCTCCCCAGGTTTTTCGCAACCAGTACCAAGGAACCCACCTTATGGTATGCCTACATCAATGATGCAAACTCTGCAGAGTGCTCCACCCATATTTTCAGAGAACGTAGCGTCTTCACCAGTGCAAGGATCTGGATCAGGTGGTCGAAACAATCAAAGCATAGGTGTTGGTTATTCTATTCAAGCACCCAGTCTTACAAATACCTCCATAAATTGTTTAAGACATCAAATGGATGAAAGTAACATGCAAATGGTGCATACATTGTCTCAGACAATGGGAGAAGTCTTTCAACCTTTGATTCAGAATACTGCTCAAACTAATCAACAATTAGCAACACAATTAGCATATATGGCTGATTTTATGGGAGTACCAACATTTGATCGAAGAGCAACTATTGGTGAGAATATTCCACGGTGTCAGCTACGAAATGTACCTGAGGTGAACATAGAAGATCAAGAAATGGGCGAACCTTTCAGAGTCGAACCACAAAGGAACCAGGTGCCAATCCATATGGAGGAAGAACCAGGAGTGATCATGGTGAATAGGAACCAAAATGTTGATCAATGCCTTAGACAAGTCCGACACCAAAATGCAGCGGAGGAAAATAATCTTGCAGCTATGGTCGAAAGAATAATGACCAGAAATGGTGTAAACTTTGGCTTCACAAGGCCAAATTATACTTCACCCA